CTGCACCCCCCCACCCCCTATGGTTTAGTCTCCTCTCTGTGCTGAGTCCACAACTTTAATCTCATAGAGTAAAGCATATTTAAACTAAATTTCTTAATAAAAAATGTAACAGAAAAATATAAGAGATGGTGTACAGAATGTCTCTATGTAATTGGTATTAAAAGGTACACACAAAAAATATCAGAATTTGGGGTGTGTGTGTAAAAAAAGCAACTCCTTTAAAAACTAATTTCTTCAGGATGGAGGCTACTTCATTCCTTCATCCAAGTCAGTGTATTAAAAACAAAACACCCAAACAAAACTAAATGGAAAAGAATGTATGCTCTTGTGTTTTTTATTTACTATGAAGTAATTCTTAACTGTCCCCAATTCATGTTATTTTTAATTCGGTGACTAGAGCTGTCGACGCAGTCTGGCCTCTGACAGACTGGCCTATGGACTCTGTGAATGGACCCTGGTTAGGCTGCCATTATGCTGGCTAGAAATCTGGAACATGATAGAACCAGCACAGGTCTTACATTTATTAGTTAGAACTTGAAGCCTCCAACTATTTCAGAACTTCAAAACCTATTAATAAACTGTGGCAGAGTAGAACTGCCATCTGCTGATAAAGCAGATTTGATAACACAAAAGATTATTCAAACTTTCTTTTGAATTTTTCATGCAGTCTTTTAAAGTTTGCCATAAGACGTATGACCCACTTAATAGGCCTTTCTTTCAAATAATATGCTCGTATCACCTTTTAAACTATACACACATAATATAAAAGTTATCACTGGGCTATCTCTTCACTCTGATGATGATTCCAGATCTACTGAAACCAATAATCACTAAGTTTCACATAGAAGAGTTTATTAATAATTTTGGATATCCATAATTAAACACCAATAAACCTATGGATTAGGTTTTTTTCAGGCCACTGTAAATTATGTTTTTCTCTATAACCAGTTTCCCATACACTTATAACCTAAAACTACAAAATACACATATATCACTTTCAAAATTTTTATATCTCCCTTTAAAACAAAGCCTTTGCATGTCTCTATAATGAAGCTGAATATATAAATGTGTAATGATTATATGTGCCCTTCTCATATGCTATACTTGAGGTCAACACTAGGAGCTTTCCTTTTAAAAAGCAACCATGTTGCCTATGGTCTATTTAGCATTTTAGTAAAGTCCCACCAATATCAGGCTTATTCACAGCATCTGACCCCTGCTAAAAAAACTATTTGCTAGGTATAATGGAGTGTCATATGGAATTGACATTTGCAAAAAGATTCAGATTACATTTCTACTTTAATGCTCCCTTACTCAAATCACTAATTAATCTTAACTTCTGGCTTTATCACATGTAATATAACAGAACCAGATGGGCACTAAATGTTCATGATTATGCTGTAATAACTTCATTTACTCATTCAACTAATATTTATAGAAAGCCTTCTAGGTGCTAGGCATTGAAGTTACAAGTATGAATAAGGCACCTTACACTTTGCTGGGGGACACAGTTTTGGTGACTGGTAAATACCACAAGAATAAATAGAAGCAACAAAGACCTAGGTTGCTGAGGAAAGCTTCTCTACGAAAGTAACATTTGAGGTGGGACTTGAATGGTAAGAAGGAGCCAGTTGTGAAGTTCTGGGCAGGGGGAAAGAATTCATTCTAGGCAGAAAAACAACTGCAAAGAATTCCTCTTAGCACCTTTCCCAATTCATGAGGCTCACTTTACTCAAAAACTAGTTTCAAACTCTTTTCCACTCAATGGAGCCTTGTGTGATTAAACCTTCTTTCAACTTATAGCTTAAGTGTTCAATTTACATATTCAGTTTAAAAGTTGTGGTCCTAAAAACATAATTAACTGTCCTGTGTTTATTCAAGTCAAAATTTTTAAGAAGAGAATCCTAAGATTCTTCTATTCATTTCCTCAGTACCTTAGCAATATTTGTCCAGGGAGAAGAATGTTCATTAAGTGCTCGGGACCAATTATGTACTAGGAAATCAGTATTTTGTCTCCTCACTCTTAAAATAAGGTTTGGTTATAGAGCACTTTACAAAGAACTAAAATAATATTGTAAATCCAGCGATAAAAGCAATGGACTCAGAAAGGAGAATCTCAAATTAAATTCCCAACTCTACCATTTACTTAGGCCTAAGGTTTCTTACAAATCAAACTCTATGATCACTTGTCAGTATTTCTAAAATGGGGCTATCACTTGCCCTGTCTAACCAGAATTAGTTGGTCCACCATATTCCATGTGATATCATGATCACTGTCCTTAAAGCTTACTGTGGAAACAGCATAAATACAAAAACAATAAAATGTGTTTTCATTTCAGAATTGGAAGAGATTGTAAATGATCTTGTTCAATCTCTCATTTCACATGAGAAATCAGAGGCCCAGAAAAATGAGGTGACTTGTTCAAAATTATTGAAATACATTATGGCAGAATCATTATGGCATCTAAATTTTTTAAATGCCCAGTTCAGTATACTTCTCTCCATACCTCATTGTGTTTTCTTCTTGCAAACTAGTTCCCCAAGTAGATACCTCACAATTTATCCTAACATTCTCTACACTTAGATACAGATGGTAGAAACTTAATGGTACTTTTTTAAGGAAGTACCGTATAGATTTCTAAGGCTAAACCTTACATAATTTGATACCAGAACTGAATTTAGGAAGTGCCATTCTGATGTTACTGAGTCACAATATCAGGAATGCAAGGGTTAAAATCAGTTCATACCTTGGACATATGCATCTACTAAATTATTGCCCTGTGGTTGGAATGTTTTTCTTAGTTTCCAACTGAATCCATAGAATGCTGATTCAGTTACATTGTTATTTGAGAAATATAGGCTATGATTTTCTTCTATTTATAGGAAATGTATCTACCATATAAAATACTGAAAGGGATGTAAAATACTTTTTGTTTCTGGTCATTTTCCTTTGTTCTCTTCCTCATAATATTAACCTAGAAGCAGAATCTAAGTTGAGAAATAGTTACTGAGTGTCAACAGTACAGCCTGGATCATATACTGTTTTCATGTGTGCAAATGAAGAATATGTGACAGAAATTATGTAATGGCTTCAATATCAGAAAGGCTGAAATTCAATTATTTAAAATACAAATAAACTAGGTATTAAAAAAAGTCTGAAACATCATCTAAACTGAAAGAAGAGCCTTTGGAAACATAATGGCTTTGGGGGAGAAGTAGCAAAGTGATGTCTCCTTAATAACTTCCATTCCTCCAAGAAGCAAGAATGTTAAATGCTTTAGAAAGCAGTGTGCAAAAACTAAGGCTGTAAGGCTCAAATGATGTAAGTCTATGGAAGCACTTGGTAGACCATGAAGTACAAGTTATTATTATATAACAATTTGTAGTCTACAAGTATGACAGTTCACCACAGAATAGACGTAAATGCTTATTTAAAAACTGCAATTCTTTTATACTGACTCACTGAATTTTTATTCTTAAAAAAGAAGGAATGTTAGCCATGAAAGCTGGGTCAACTATCCCTTTCTGAAAAAGGAATTTATAATAGCCTCAACAGAATCCCCCCCCCCCCCGACAAAAACCACATACACATGAAAAAATTCCCCCCTTTTCAAAATATGGGTCCTTCTTTTAGCCATGTGACCTTAAACCAGGTCACTGTTTCTCGCTGTAACTCATTTTCCTAGTAAAGTGTCAGACACTGTGTTTGGTGTTTTGCATACTGCCTAACAGGTTCTGTTATACAGAAAAAATAAAATGGAAATTACTCTTACTGTATAATTAAGGAAACTAAAGCTCGAAAGGGGTTAGGAAACTTGCTCCAAATGACACAGTTATTAGCTGATATATTGGACTTTCCTCTAACTCCAAAGGCCTTGCTCTTATCTTATAAAATAAGACTGTTCTTGGTGATTAATCCATCATTCTTCCAAAAATATTAATAGGAAAAAACGTATTTGTTAAATGATAATTATCTCACTACTTTTAGTTTGCCACTACCTAAAAGTAATCTTGGATTTTTGAAGTAGTGATACTTAAGAGAGTAACATAGGACATACAGTGTTTTTCATGGCATATGTAATGCAAAGTACTTAACTTTAAAAACGATGAATAAATGAGAACTAATAGATACTATTTCCATCAAAGTTTTACTTTACAAAGTCCAGTCTTTAAAAAATATATATGCAATTTTTATTTTTCTATATGTTATGGTTCTTAGAACCAACCTACTACTCTGTGAATTTGAAGAAACAATGTAGTAAAGACACATTATTACCTTGCTCTAAAATAACTTAATTACTAAAGAATAGAGGATGGAGCTGGGTTTTCTAACAGAGATTTCTGGTCTGGTGTTATATTGTAGTTGCCAAAGAAAATCATTAACTATCTCTTCAAAATATGCAACTTAAAACAGTTTTTCATTGTAACCGTCTACATTACTAATGTTGAAATTCATCTAAATTAGTCCAATTGAAGGCAAAACATTTAGTATTACTCTACAGAACAGACTAAACAAACCATTCCATACTCGGGGAAACACTCTGTTAGATATGATGATGATGCATTAATTTACCATTTACCGAGCACCCACTACGAGCCAGGCACAGCTAGATGTCCAACATAATAGTACAATCTTTGGCCCGTAAGTGAACTGAAACTCCAAAACGGCCACAGTCTTTGATGAATTTACTACTTACAGATAAGAGAACCAGTGGACCACACTGTCTCACCAGTTCACCTTCCTGTTTGACATGTCCAAAATCCAGGCACCTGGGTATCAAATTCAACTCAAGAATGCCTAAGTGAGGCAAAATGAGAGCTATCTCGGAGCAGTTGAATGCACACTTGCCACAACACCCGGTTTCTGTGGGGCGATGGGGACTTTCGGTGAACCCTGCGGGGGCCTGGAAAATCAGAGGGACGAGAGGCACCCTAAGAGTCGGGACCAGGTAGAGGTGGGGCCGGCCCGGGCCGGCATCTCCCTGTTGGGCCTCGCTCACCTCTTCCACCTCGATCTCCTTGTAGTCGATCTCTTCAAAGTTGAGAACTTGGGAGGGGGCTTCGATCATGTCACCGGCCGAAGACGAGGAGGAGGAGGAAGCGGCGGAGGTTGTAGACATGATCTCTCTCGGAGCCCGGGGGGCCCGGCGAGGCTACCGCCCGGAGACTCCGGGCGAGACCCGCGCCCACCCGCCTCCGGACCGACCTTCAGCCTGGAGCCACGGCGACCCGTGGAAGGCACAGGGGCTGCGGCCACAGCCGAGTCCCCGCTCCGGCTCCGCTGCGTATTCCGCTGCCGGGCCCCGCCCACTAGACTTCCGGTTCCGGCCTGAAGTGTGAAACCGGAGGAGGGCTGTGAGCTCAAGGAAAGGGAGGGGAGAATTTTGTAATCGAGAAAGGAAGGACAGTTTTGAAGATGGACGGGGGAAGGAAAGAGGCTAACTTTGATCTGTAGGACAAATTTCGCGAGATCTTTCTTATGGTGCCTCAGCAACCGGATGATATCGCGAGAGCTGACGCTATGACGTACTGAAAATGCGCGAAAGGAAGTGGCGCAGAGCACGACGGAATAGCAGCGTCGTTGGTCCTTTAGGAACTAGCGGGAAAGATGAAAGCTATGGTTTCAAGTCTGCTTTTTCAGCTCTTCTATGGACTCGTTCCCGTTTCTTTCAGAGACCTGCGGAAGGCTGGGGTAGTGTTGGACTGTTTTTTTGTGACAAAGCTTACTTTTTAGTTTCACCCCAAACTAAGCTGACCTATTTCTTTAAGAAGCTTTGGAAAATGTGTTTCTTCGTGGAGCAGGGAGGGAAGCACTTGCTACTGTTACTGTGAGCCAGTCCATGACTCTATGAGAGACTCTAAGAAAATAATATAGAGCGAGCCAGCGCATGTAACCTGAATGACTATGTAGGCTGAGTGCTCAGGCACAGAAATTAATATTAAGTAAGATAGATATTTATAATTTGACATAATTTGATGTGTTCATCTGACGTTATAGGTTGCACTAATAGCACATAGGGAGTGTGGAGCTCTGTGCTAGATGCTTTATATTTCAATCATTAACCATAGCCTTGAAAGCTAAGTATTTTTCTTGCCATATTCAGGACGTGAGAAAATACTCAGAATTAAAATGTTAAAAAAATAACTTCCACAAGTAAAGTGTTTTTTGTTGTTGTTTTTTTTTAAAGTAAGGTTTTATTGAACTAGAATGCTAGCCAAAAAGAAGACCGGAGTCTAAATCACAGGAAGCATGGCTAGGTAGAAAAGACGGCATTTCTCTCCAGAATTTTGCAAGCATTTTTATGCATCAAGTAAGGGGAAGAAAGAGGTAGTGTTAAGAATTTACATTAGCTATACGCAAAGGGGCGGGAGAAAAGTGAAGTGAGGCCAGCTCTGGAATATGCACTAGGCCACCTAAATACTTGCTCCTCTAGGTTGTTGTGGGCAGCAGTCTAGAAAGCCAGGTGTAAATAACAAGAGGAGGCTAATGGAGTTAGATAGTGCCTGGCTAAAATGATCTGTGGAAATGGCCACCTGCAAATTGATCCAACATTCCAACAGGCAACAGAAGGAATGTAAGCAGTCTTTTGTTAGCTGGCCAGCAGCCATTAGCAGACTAAGAGTTCTGTCTTGTTCTCTCGCTCTCCAGCTGCTGTAATTTAGAACATCTGAGAATTTTCTTGTCAAAACAATTATGATCCTCACAAGCTAATACAGCTTAGGTCAATGTATGTCCAAGGTGGATAATGTTTCCTGTGTTGTGCTCTCAACACAATTTTTAGTTTTAAATTAGCTGTTAAACTTTATTCAGTTAGTTTAGTTTAAAGCTTATCTGGGAAAATTGAAGTTAGGGATGAAGGTTTAAGGACCAAGGATGAAACACTGCGAATGTCAAATTCTGTGTCAGTAAGAGATTGAAAAAGAACAGAAAGGGGGAAAGTGAGGGGGAATGGTGATCACTGGAGACCTTTCCAATTAAGGAGTAGACAGCCAAATAAATGCTGTACAGAATTAAACACGTTATGATTGCAAATAGGTTATTGGATTTGGCGATCAAGAAGGAATTCCTGGGAAATATTGATTTTTTATTCATAATCCTAGAAACACTTGATATTTTGGTGACTAGATAAAAATGAAAAATTATTTTTTCTGGTTCACTCTTTGGGTGATTTTACCCAGGGTCTTGACTACCTATAGCATTTTTGTGATGATGATTTCCAGTCTCTCCCAGTGCTCAGTTTTTTTCCTGAGTTCTGAATCTATTGGTCATGTCTGTTTAGACGTAACACCTAAATTTCAAGGTTCCAAAAGCAAATTTAAAAGTTATTACCCACCACAAGTTTGTCCTACTGTGGGCATTTTCTATCTCCATGAAGGACTGTATCATCTCAGTTGTCCAAATGAGAAATTGGCTTTATTTCTACATGGGAAATAATGCTTGGTGCACTAATAACCAAATGGAAGCAGATTAAGTCAATGGGGTAACTATTTTTACCTGTCATTAACTCTACTTGAATTCTCAAGCTAGAATCATCATCTCTTAATCTTGTGCTCTCATTCTGCAAGTCATATCTGATTTAACACCTTGATTTTAATACAGTAGATGCTGCCAAGTGAGAACTCAAGATAATATTTGTTACATGCTCTGGGTGAATAAATAGCTTTTGACAGTCCTCCCTTTCCCTGCAAGAACTGTTTTCTATACTTATAGTATAGGACTAGAATTCTGACAAGGGACTAATCACTACAGCCATGGTATTATTCTTCTGCTTGGTTTATTAATCATCCCCCAATGTTTTGTTATGAATAGCAAACACAGAAAATTACAGTGAAGACCTATAATTACTACCAAGATTCTATCATTACTTTTTGCTGTGTTTGCTCTATCACATATCTGTCAAGTCCATCCATATCCATGTATTATGTTTTTTTGTTCGATGTATTTTAAAGTGAATTTCCTGCGTGATTTTGAACATCTTTCTACCTCAACACTTCTGCTTCTGTGTTTTATCCACTGATTCTGATGTCTTGATACTACTTTAAAATCAATTCACGTTTATTTTCTTGGAGACCACCTTTATTTTTGGGGGGGGGAGGTCTGCCTGACATGTTTTCACTAGCTTCTGATAATAAAGTTCCAGCAGTATTCATGTCTCTGCATTGAGCAATCCCCAAGGTCTAATCTACTATTCTGTGACTTGATTATGTGAGGTGATAACTTCCAGTTTTCATTTAAGGTGATTCAAGTTGTATTTTTGTCACATGCAATCAGAATCCTATGGACAGTTGACCATTGAATGTTTGAAGTGCATGGGTTCACTTATATTCAGGATTCCCCCCCCCCAGTAAATACATGTGTTGTTTCTGATCTATGGTTGGGAGTCTGTGGATGCAGAGGACTAACTGTGTATGGATGTATGGCATTGTATGTAGGGTCCTTAAACATTCCCAGATTTTGGTATTTGTGAGGTGTCCTGGAACCAGTCCCCTTCGGATACCAAGAGTAGTTAAGTTTTGGGGAAGTCAAAAGTTATATATGGATTGTCAATTGTGTGTATGTTGGGGGTGGCAGTCAATGCCCATAATCCCTGTGTCATTCAAGGGTCAATACAGAGAAATGAGGAGGGGAGCTTAGCCCATCTTAGTTCACTTTAATTTTGACTGCATTCCCTTTAATTTTTATGAGTTAATGATGGAAGTTTGGACTTCATAATTTCATGTAAACTTTAGCCATTAGTCTATTGTGTCACCACAAATTTCCAAAGGTAGATATCAAGCTATTTAAGTGGTCTCCTTGAAGTCTCTTTCAGTTTGATCTCTCTCCCTACCCACTCTCAGACAGAAAAACAGATACTAACTGAGACAGATGCTGATCATAATTTAAGTCATGGAAATGAATGAGATCACTTAGGGAAAATGTGTAAAGTGAGATAGAATAGGACTTAAAACAGAGCCTTAAGGAATACATTTTTTAAGGTGTGGAGGCAGAGGAATTACCAAAAGATTTGTAGAAAACTAAAAATTATAATGTGTGGAAACCAAGTTGAAAGGGTGTTCACTATTGAATTATAAGATAAAGTTAAACATGAGAAAAAACAGCATCCATTGGACTTGGGCCTTGTGTCTTGAGTTCGAGGTGTCCATATGTGGGTGTGTAAGCTTCCTTGCAATATAGAATTTAGTCTAGAGTAGGAGAGGGGTATGGGTTAGGAGCTGAAGGCTAGCTTTGTTCATACCACTACATCCTGGTGAAGGTAATTTTGTCAAGGTAGGAGGGTGGACTATATCTCCTTTACTGGTTTGCTATCTTGAGTTATAACTGGTAAATATGTAGACATACAGTATGTGAGCCACTTTATATTCTTGCTCTGGGCCCCACAAAAGCTAGGCCTGTTTTTTACAAGTTTAGATTTTTATTCCTTTGTACTAGTGGTCTATAGGTAAGTTGTTCCCAGCCTTAATTTGCAATTTTCCAGATTTCCCATAGATGTCTCTCTCTTATCACTTAGGTTTCAGCTCAGTCAGCACCCCAGAGGTAATGACATTAGCCCCCCCTTTAGCTCTCCACCCCTTCTCTTTCTATTCATTACTCAGTTTTATTTCTAGCCCTTTTCCTACCTGACATTATCTTCTTTAATTATTTGCTGCTTCATTTATTTTCTGTCCTCCCACCCCCTCCGCACTCCTGTCCATTGAATGTTAGTTCCACTGGGACACGGATCATAAGCATTATGTTCACTGCTGTCTCCAGGATTTGGAATACACCTGAAATTAGTAGCCACAGTAATTTTCTATAATGTAAATGAGTATCTACATTTTAAAGTAAATGCTGATTAATTTATTTCAGGTGTAAGGAATGGGTTAACCAAATATTTTCTATAATATCCTTGAGGGAAGATTGAATAGTCAAATTGATGTACAAGTAGTATACTAGTTATTTATCATGGGGATTTCTTAAGTATTTGAGAGTTTTGAAAATGTTTTGTTCTTCTGAGTGATTTCAATCTCTCCATTCTTAAAATTACTAATTTTTAGGATAGTTCTCTTTCAAGATTTTGCCAGGGTAAACTTTAGTTCTTCTTCTTTCTAAATGTGCACTAGTATTTAATCCATTTGAATTGTTTTTTCATTGAAATTTAATAATAAAATGTTATTGTGACACTAACGATTACTTTCAGAAATAACTGATATTCTTACTAAAATACTTGTACAATCAGACAGAATATTTTTATTTTATGAGTTTCTAAGGCAAACTTAAACATCACAATGTATTCAGCATCAGTTTTTAAAAACAGAAACTTAGTTGAAAACATACTTCAGGAATAAAAACAATTGTGATAAACATAGTATTCTTCACTGATCCCATTCCTGAGTGCTCCACCCTCATGTCCTAATCACCTTTCAAAGGCCACACCTTCAAATACCACCAGGCTGGGGTTAAGATTTC